TCGCTTAAGATGTTAGAATGTATATGGGGACACGATTTAGTTCAACCACTTTGACTTAAATAACTAACTCCTGTGTTAAACCATCCGACTCGTATTCTGACCACTCTGACCACAGAAATTATTAGGCTTCAAACAGGGTGAACGAAATCATGCCCCCCGCACACAGTCTAACATCCACACATATAGAAAAAACCTCGAATCTTTTGCATATCTCAAAATTTCAAGGTGTCCCGAGTCCAAAAATGTAAAAATTTGGGAGGGGTCATTTTTTGACCGAGCGCTACACTTTTCCTCTGTTATACAGGCCTATAACAGCCGGAAAAGTAAAAACTATCGAATAAATATTTATATATTACTTAGAGAAGTCTTTTAGCTTTGGAATAAAAAGTTTCTACGCTCTATCTTTATTACAACTCTATTTATTGAATATTTTATTCTGATGTCACGTGATGACATCAGAATTTCCGGGTCTCTTTCGGTAACAAGTCTGTCCCTAGTCGGAGTCGGAGTCGGAGTCGGAGTCGGATGGTAAAAAACAGTCGGAGTCGGAGTCGGAGTCGGATGGTAAAAAACAATCGGAGTCGGAGTCGGAGTCGGATGGTAAAAAACAGTCGGAGTCGGAGTCGGAGTTGGAGTCGGTAGATTTTTACGCGGCTCCACAGCCCTGGTATATAGTTTGAATCAGCTTTGTTATTTTAAAATGAAATTTTAAAAATTCAGAGACGCAGAAATCATGAGGAATATCGTTTAAGAATCTTAAATAATTCTTATAATTATGAATACATGTTTCCCTGATATCATTGAAAAATCAGTATTTATTTTCGGTGATGGTTAATGTGGACGACTAAACGGCTAAGACGGAAAAAGTTGAACCTAAAAGATTTTTGGTAAGTGATCTCTTCACATAGATGGGAACCTGCTTCTCATCATTCATTATCTCTGACAATCACATGGTTGACGAGTCTGAATTCGATTCTGGGTGTCCATAGCAGTAGCTCTGTGCACCCAAAATCGAATCCAGGCAGGTCAAAGAGTCCCAGGAAATTTTTCGAGATGTATATAGATATTCGAACCTCATCCCTCACTACTCATTTCTTCTATTGTAGACTTGGCGAAACCCATAATAGGATGCCATAAAGGCTTTTTGCTGCTCAATTGGCAGAATAATTTTAAAAAACCCACCTGCCTGTCAAAACCTGCATTGTGGTCCTGACCAAACCTCTGATGAGTATGAAAGATATCCTTTTAGTGCCTACAAAGGAAACATAAATTCAAAAATTAAAAAAAACAAACTAAATGAGACAATTTAATTAGAATTATTCATAAAATATTTTAACATCATTAAGATATAACAGATAAGCAGAGTTAATGTTTCTTAACTGAAAATTAAAAACACATTTGTTAATAATATTGATATATTGCATAGTGTAATTTTTAACAAATTCGATTGTGTTATGATAAATATTAATACTAAAATTAAATTTTTATAACAACAGAAAATTCTTTATACTATTTCAAACTTTTATAATGTTCTAAACTCTTCGTAATTGCTACATTGGATTTTTACATTACTGAAGGAAGTCAAACTCATTTCTCCTTTAAATGTAAATAAACGTGTTTTATAGAATTTGAAATTCTTAATTTTGAAGAAAATAATTAATAATTATTTTCAATCAACATTCAAGAATTAGAAAATCTAAAATAAAATTGTTATCCTTAGAAAATAGTGCACAATTATTCACATTACTATTAACGAGACAAACATTTGAGAGCAATTTAATTTCGTTTTAAACATTTTGATTATTTATAAGTCATTTGCCATAAAAATGTCTTGTCCGTGTTAAATACAGTAACGATTTTACGGGCTTCGAATTTAACCGATAAAGAATTCTGCCGCAATAGAAATAACTATAGGATCTTTCTTTATTCGCCAATAGAGCAAAACAGAGGGTGAGTCGATAAGTTAAATTTATCAAACACTGTAAATTACTCAATATACAGTACATTATTATTATACTTTTTTCTACTTAAATATATGTCGTAATAATATTTTAAAACGTCTTGTGTGTTATAAGTTTGTAATTGTCTCGTATAATCATTAAAATATTTAATTGTGTAAGGCGGATTCTCATTGGCTATTCTGGGTTTTTATTGCTTATTTTTATTATATAAACCGTAATTTTTCGAATGATATGCAACCAAGAAATATTTTCGAAAGGTAACAAGTTAAGACGTAATTATACTACCATATATGAATATTAATTGTTTTTGTTTTTAGGTGTAAGCTGATTATTATAATTATTCTTCAAAATCATGAAAGCTTTTTATGGTATTTTGATAATCTTACTCTTTTGTACCATGTGTAAGTTTGCTTTTATCTTCGTTTTTAATTTATGTACTGTACAGTACATGTAATAATATTAATTATTCTACATTTGCGCATTTTAGTCAATTTGAATGAATCAACATTTATAGATGTCAGTTGTTCTGTATCAAAAGAATGTTGGGCACCGTGTAAAGCAGCATTCGGAGTTGATCGCGGAAAATGCATGGGTAAAAAATGCAAATGTTATCCTTAATTATTATCTTTTCAAGAAGAAATCTCTACATCTTATACTGAAAGCAATAAGAACGTATTTTTCTGATAATAATAAAGTTATGAATTTAAATATTCTACAAAAGTTAAGAATTTATTCAAAATGAATTTAATATGTACTGAACTACTAAAAATAAAAAACATGAAAAATATTTACGTTACACTTTAATTTTTTTCAAAATATTTGCATAGAAAAATTATAGAAAAATTGCATAATCAAATCAAATTATATTACATTAGAGTCCCGAAAACTCGGCCTAATGTGGATTGAAGGGTAACCGAGTTTGTGAAAATGCCGTTTTATCGGGAATGGGGTTAAAAAAGAATAAGTAGAAGTGTTTCCTCAGAAAATATTGTACTATACTTGTATGTATTGTTTGCTTGAGAATACAACAGAGAATAAACTGCCCAAATACCCTTAAACAAAGGAAAAGTACGTACTTTATGAAGGCATAGACCCTTTACTACATGAAAATGAAAATTAATGAATACACTGTGTACAATAATTTACCTAATAAGACAGACCTCAGAAAAATACTTTATGAGGCATAAAGCTGTCTATAATGGAAATTAACTAGGGGATTTTTCGCCCTACTGTATCAACACTACCATACATTTTATGCTATACTAAACCATCGAGAGCATTATCTGCAAGATATCCAGATTGTTTATGGCAAATACTTGAGTAGTTTCTAAGAGTGAGTGAAAACTTGGTCTAAAAATTGCTGAAATTATGTTTAAAATCATTATATATTAACCTATAAATAGGTTATATTGCAACAGAGAAGCTATAAAATGATTGCCTACTATTTAAAATTTTATTATAATCTTCAGGCTTAAAAACAAAAGAAATCTGCTATTTTCCGGAGGAACTGGGACGTATTAGCGTCATATACATACGTGCTATGTAATATAAGCTTGCAAACTTTAAAATAAACTAAGTAGTTGCATATTTTATCACATTTTATAGAAACAACAAATGAAATAAATATAAATATAATATACATGGTTTACAATTGATTGAGCGCATTTAGTTAATGAATTATAAATAAACTAAAGGCTTGAAATAAATATAAATATAATATACATGGTTTACAATTGATTGAGCGCATTTAGTTAATGAATTATAAATAAACCAAACAATTTAGAACGATTACTATATATCAATCATATAGCAGCTCAAACAGTTTTCTTTCATCAAGAAATATTCACTGTTAGAAGACTTCAATATGGACTCTATTTTTGACGGAAACAACGTCCAACTGATATTAGATTTTTCGTCATGTGTTTACAGCATTTCCGAAGTAATCATTTGGATGATTTCCGAAATTCGCCCCTTAATTTGAGCTATATCGCAGACTTTCGATGCGTACACATGGACTTTCACACATCTCTACCAAAGAAACCAAAAAAATCCGGAGGCATAAAATCTGACGGTTATGGTAGTGTGATCGAAGGGTCGGCACCTCTTCGATGCCCTGTCAGGATGACACCACGCGTCTCGGCGGACACGGAAGCCGCGTTAACTAAGTCACGCGAGCGGTCGCGTAACGGAGCGATCAGATTCGGGATGGAGGGAGAGACAGAGCACCGGAAGTGACTTACTCAAAGACGGATTAACGTAACAACTATTTAATGGGTAACGATAGGCCATACAACATTTAGATTTTAAATATGCTAGCTTTTAGATACATTTCTACGATTGATAGATATTAGATATATATCTGATATTATGTTTTTTTCCGATTCCCGAGAGAGAGAGTTTACAGAAGTTTCGCGTGGCGATAAATACCCTTTTTTGATATCTTGATTGAGATTCTCGAACGTTCTTTGTGAAAGAGAGGAAGTTCGGGATGTCAGTTCGGGTATCCTGTAGAGGAAATATCCGTAAGCCTGATGGAACATACAGTATCCGCAAAGATGTTAGACGATGGTACGATGGTTTCCGATGATATTTTAGTAGGATATAAAAACGTAGAATAAAATGATATATTCACAGATATCCGAATATTGAGGCACTTAGGACAAGATACGGGTGACACTTTGACTCTTTCGAAGGACGGGCGACGACTGCTTCACTTTGTTGTTCTGTTCTAACATACTGTTGAAATCGAGATATTAGGTCGAAACGTGATGAGAAAGCGTCGTTACTAGGCCTGAGAACTTAACAGATGTTTAGCTCCCAGATGTAAAAGTTGACAGTTATTTAACGAAAGTATATCTACAATGTGATATTATGATGTAATGATATAAATATACTGAAAGTCTGGATTCGGATCTCCACAGTAGCAAAGGCAGGATGAGGACCACTGCTTTGACCATTTGGCTCGAACATTTGTTAACACCCTATATAACAGCGCTATAATATTGTTCTGTTTTCGAATTTTGTAATTTATAATATTGCTAGTTTTAAATTTATCAAATAATTAAAATGAAAGTTCAACATCTTTTGACAGTAAAAATATCAAATTCCAACATGAAGTTGAAATTTAATTAATCAAAGAAAAATTGACTTTAGCTAAAACGTAGTAAAAAAATTATAAATAAACTAAAGACTTAACGACTAGATGTACTCCTTCTTAATAATCTATGTACTGTACAGTGTAGAAGATCCTCATTTAGCGTCATTTCCTTTAAAGTCCTTGAGGAAAGACACAAATACAGTACATTTCTAATCGATCTAATCATTTACAATTATCGTTGTTTACTTTTCTTTATTAACAGGAAAATTGACATTATGGGTTTGAAATTAAATGCTCGGGTTGAAAACACAAACCAATAACATAATATTAACCGTATTATATATTGTTTATATTATTTATTCAAAGATAGCGAATCTCATTGAGTTCGCGTGCCAGTGAACATAATTACCTTTAAAAATGTTCATGTGTGACAAAGCTGTAGATTTGCAATAACGGTATTTAAAGAAACGAAAAGAAATATGCGTTAATTAAAATAGGGAAGATCGGGGCAAGATCGGCATGTTAAGCTTTACTTAAATTTTGTGTAATAAATACTGCTGTAAACTGAAAAAAAAGCTTTGCATATTGTCTATTGGAATGTTACCTTACTATAGAACTGGTTAAAATCAGTTTGGAAATAAAAATAATTAAAATAATTACAACTTTACAAGAAGAGAGAAATTGACGAAGTTGCCCCGGGTATAGGGGCAAGATCGGCAACTTCTCTCTTTTTGTAAAGTTGTAATTATTTTAATTATTTTTATTAAAGTTGCCCCTGGTATAGGGGCAACAGTAATGGGGCAAGATAGGCACGTATATAAAATTATGTTATTAACAATGTATAAGTTGGAATTCACTATTAAAACAAAGAAATACAAATCCAACACCCATTTAATATTATTACAACGAAATGCAAGTTCAAAGACATATATACATGAATAACAAATGCAAACATGTTTTCATTTATCATCTGTTTGATTTTTATCCTTTGCTTCTAATGTGGCTTTATGTTGCCGATCTTACCCCGCTAGTCATGATTTCGAAACATTAAGTACAACCCTGAGAACAGAATGCCAAGCCACGATCTGGCCACGTGAATAAGTTGAAGTTACATCCTTCTAACAGGAAAAGTAACTTTCGTTATCATGGAATTATAACAAAACCTGCCAATTCAATATAAATGGAAAAAAAATATTATATGGAATTGAACGAAAATGAAAATTTGCTTGATAATTCAACTACGCTTGTTGGAGAACAATAAAAACACTACACTCAACAAGCCACCAATAAAACTCAACTGCCTAACCTATAACCAAAGTCTCCTTTTAATTTGTTTTTTAAAAAAAGCGCTTGACAAACTTGCCCCGCATGCGGAAGTTGCCCCGATTTCCCCTAAATGTAAAGAAGCTAACTGAAAAAAATTATCAGGAATCGAAATCGCATGATACGTTACGTGACAGATGACTTTTACCGACGTGCCACTTCGAGTATGAGTGCTGTAGTTTGATTTCTGTACATCTAGTCTATGACAAAATTGATTTCGGTATAGACTATGTCTTTTTATTTAACACTGCGGTTTCTGACAACCTACAATGATGTTAATAAAAATATATTCTACGTATTTCACTTGTATAAAACTTCAGCAACAAATTGCTTAACTTTCCTGTCATGATTTTGTGGCGCCATCTTTTATTATATTTTATCAAAAATAATTTTTATATTTTAATTATTAAAAAATAGCAAAAAACTTAATTCTGAGTGTAGGGATGAGTTTTATAAAAAATTGTAAATGCTAATAACGAATCAAATCGTCATTAAGTCCGACCTTACTCGATATACGACACACCGCCCTGCTTTATCTCTCCGATAAAGGAAGATTGGCCCCTTTCTCCCCGATATTTTTAAACATCAAAATTTAATAGAATCGATTCTCCTAATATAAAAACGTTCCTGTAAATTTTCAGAAATTTTCGACAAAAAGCACGGAATTATTAAGTTTCAAATAGGGTGATTATTGCCTTTTTTTCATGTCTGCCCAGAGGCGAGCAAGTTTCCTATTATAAACATATGATTAAACTGTAATTCTAGTAAATATACTGAAAATGTACAAATACACGCTTATTTTGTGACAGAATGTCTCTAATTAAACAACTTACAGACATTTCGTTGCGCGCGCAGATAATCCATATTATCAACCTAGTAGAATCGTGACATCAACAACAAAGCCGAGATCGTTACGAAAGACTAGTATGGGCCGAATTCTGGTCATCATCTTTCGTTTGTTAGAGAAAACTTCTAGGTCACAAGCCGGTCGCTGATTGGCTATTGATTTGTTTACGTCTCGAGAGATCACCGTGTTTCCAATAGCGATTCTGGACGACATTTTGTCTCGAAGATTCGTTCGTCTCTGGGAGACGAGCGTATACTCGTCTTTCGTCTGTAGCCTTGGTTTCGTTTTATCCAATATAGACGACTTGACTAC